TAAAACAATAATAATAAAAATTAAAAAACATTAAATAAAATAACACAAATTAAAAAACAAATCGGAATAATTATTGAAAATTCTACATTAACCAAACAACACCATCCCCGAACCGCATGCCCCCCGTCATTTTATCATCACTCTCGCACAAATATACATATTTATCACTAAGCCCCCCAAAAACACCTACGCCTAAACACCCCCATTATGATCCTAATCCCCCCCCAATAACAACCTTATAATACACTGGTATCAATTATAACAATATACCCGTGCCAACACTTTAAACAGCGCCCCCAGCAGCACTGAGTACCTGGTCGCATCGTCGCGATAATACCCCGAACTAAATCCCAAATGGCACTTCCGCATAATATATCGTTAATCTTTAAATACGAATAAATACTATTTCCCAATACCTTTCATATATAAATCAAATACCATTCGATGACATATTAAACCCAATAACTCCCAAAAATTCCATCCTGACAACGACACTAAAAAATACATTATTGCAAAATCAATCAAAATTATCCGTTATATCAAATATTCATCGGCGAAAATAATATTATTTTATTTTTTAGAAATCATAAAACATATATAGGTTTTATTAGAATATTAACAAACTTAATAAAAAAATATATATAAGATATTTTATACCCATACTCTATATAATCAAAAATATTAAACTAACAGCATCAAATATTTAATAAATCAAAAAATACCTCAACTTAAAATATAATATTCGCGACAATATACATGTTCATTATATTAAATCAATCCATTAAAATAGAATTATTTCAATTAATCATTCACAAAATTATTGATAAAACCTCCGCTCTTAGATTCCAAAACCCAAAAATATCGCGAAACAAAAAATGTATAATATACAAAAACCATTTTCATACCCTAAATATATATATATATATATAATTTTTGAAATAAAAGAAACGAAATAAATATCCGAAATAATTTATAAATATTTGTAATTCGAAATTAAACCAATAAATTCATAAAATACATGTTCTAATTCTTTTTACTCAACCAAAAATGAATTGAACATATTAATTTCGACCTAATGCATTTTTAATATAAAATTCCAAAAAACCTATCTATCCATTTATTATCAAAATATAACCTATAACAAAAAATATATCCAATCAAATAATTGAATATATAAATAATTAAACAAAATCAAAAAATACAATATCGAAAAACAAAATCTCGCCTACCCACAAACCAGCCGACAACTCGCCCAAACTTCGACAGCATTCTTAATCATTCGATACAAATTTCTCCAGAAAATCTGGCGAGCCAATCTAAGAGCTTAAAAATTAAGATATTCATTCCCTAAAATTTCTTAATTTTAAATTGGTTACATAAGCCAAACAATTTAGATTTGTTTAGGACAAATACATTTGGGAAATAAGGAATATCAAACCCACTAATGCCGAAAATACGATCTATTATGCGAACGAGAATCCCTCTACCCGAACATCAATTTTCCCGATTCCAATTCATTAGCCTTCATTAAATCAAGGATATGACAACAAAAAGGTCAATCCATTAATTAACAATTCGGCAAAAATTCAATATATAATCTCTATATAATTTCGTTCGAATCGAAACCCAATAAATCAATTAATCCATGTAATTCAAGATCAATATCCATGCCGAATCAAAGAATCAAATTGTTGTTAGTTAAAGAATCTAAAAACGGCATATCCATAATTTCGAACAATAAAACTAATCCAAGAAATATAAGAAATCGCTAAAACATTTTATAAACACAATTATTAAGGAAACAAATTCAATAAAACAAAATATCCAAGATTTATTAAATTCATTTTTCCTCTTTTAATATATTACTTTCTATATTCGTATTTCCCCATCTACCAAGAAACATATCACTTGCCACCCAAAATAAATCGAATCAAAAGAAATTTGCTTCCTAATTGATTCAACTAACTCCGTCTCCAATTGCTCCTTATTCATCGCCGCAATAATAACAATCTTTGCTCTACCAACTCAGCTTCAGGAACATTTGGGGTATACAACATCAACTAGCCGTATTACAATTGTCGCCACGGCCCCAACAAGCTGCCACCATCCGCATGTTGTTTCTATGGCCAAAACACCTTGTATCTAGAAAGAAATTACCTTGGCCTGCAATCGCTTAAGCCTTTAAAATAATCATCCTCCGGCTCTTGGAAAAAAAAATAGTACAAAACCAACAATATCTTATTCATTTTTACTCATATCATATTAAAATTCACAATTTCTTTAAGAATATTACGGATTTATAAATAATTTTTAATCGTTTATTTTCAGAAAAAAACAAAATATTAATTTGTCCAACCTTAAAAAAACACTTCTCAAAAATTACGACTTTCGAATCGGAACTACTAAAACGTAATTTCTTTATTACACTCATATTTAAAAAATCTGATTTTCGAGCCGGAGCTGCCAAAATATACTTCCTTTATTATATTTATATTAAAAA